TGTGTGTGTGTGTGTGTGTGTGGGTGTGTGTGTGTGTGTGTGTGTGTGTGTGCGTGCACGTGCGTGTACTATTATTAAAGTTCGGCGTGTACTATTATTAAAGTTCGGAAAATTATTTCCTTGTATAATGCACAAAAGAGCAAACAAATTTAGCATATAAGAGAAATAAAAATAACACCCTTTCATGACCGTAATATAGAACAATAAAAATAAGCATATGAATACGTGAACATTATAGTTTTAAGATATGGTCAATAATGAGTATACATATATGTGATAAAGAGGCGCTTATGATGTAGTGCCCAAATTCAGACATATAATCATTTGAGAGTGTACTAATTGTGGATGCATTTATGATAGAAATAATATTCCGTCCGGACGGCTAATCACCGGCGACCACATCGCCCGACAATAACGTGTATGGCGACGTGGCCGCCGGTGATTAATTTTCTGGCGTAATATTTTATCCTTATAATGCTATAACATTAAACGTGGAAAAAAATATTGTGTTACATTTAAGTTATAAGTTAAGTAATAATACAAAAAGGTTTATTATATAATAGTGAATTTCTCTTAGGAACTTCACAAATAGAAATACTCCATAAATAAGCATTCAAAGGATGAGCAAGCTCTTTAGAAGTTACAAGAAAAAGAAAAAAAAACGTATATATGGGTGTATCGGGTTAGAAATAAAAGGATAATTTGCTTGAAATTATATTGGTCATTTAATTGGAATATGAGATTAATACTCTACTATTACTATTTTGCTACCAAACTAAGTTGAGTTGATGAGTTTATGATATATGTTGTGTGTCGAAAGATTCACGGCAGTAGAGTGATAATTTAACGTCTTAGCATTGTATGAAAATTCAACACACACACAGATAATATAAAAATAACAGATGAAGACAATATGACTTTACATAGAAAACCAGCCCGATTGAATAATCGATGTTGATTTTCCTTGATCGTATAGGTTTTTTTTAAGATTTGGGGTTTTAATGCCTTTGAAATTAAGTGATATTTGGCTCATTGCATTCCTCTCGTTGAGGCACTCAATTTCGCCTTAGATACACCAAATTTGAAGTTCGTTTGACCCTTCAATTAACTACTTGAAGCTTTCAAATATTGTTCAATGGCTTGATCCAGACTTGATTGGACTCAGATTAGACCAATTTTGATACCGTTGGGTTTGTCTTGTCGATGATCAGTTTGAACTTTCTTGTAATTAGAGCTTAGGATGATTTTTAATTAAATAGAAAAATTTTGTGCTAAAAAATTGCCTAAGGTTCGTGTCAGATTATGAAATTTCCTTATGACATATCAATGCCTAGGTTCAAAGTGAAGTGATAATTAAGGATAAGCCCAGGGATAGAGTGGTTCTTAACAGACTTTTAAGGATGGCTAAGTTGTAGGAGATGCGAGAGATGGGAATGAGGGTTTTGGGTGGCTGAAATGCATATTAGAAGCTTATGTGGTTAGTTTGTTTTATTTGAAGTTATAGGTGACTCTCAAGTAAAAACTCATATTCAAAAATTAAAAATTAATCATGTGTTATGATGAATTTATACCTGCATCCAGATTATAATTCTTTTGATTTTTTTACATGTTTCATTGTCATTGTTGATGAGTGAAAATAATTAATCATGACGCACATCTTTAGCCTTCTCCATGAGCTCATTCATCATCGTCTTCAATAAGCTCGTCTCGAGCCTCACATCCCTTCATTTGTCACACCACCATTAGCGATGTCGCTTCGTAGTCCTCTCTATTCATGAACCATCTTATAGCAGTAATTCTATTTAGGTCAGAAACATGTCATTTTTTATTAGAGATGTTAATCAATATTATTTGTAATAGATTTATAGTTACTTCATACAATTGTTAAGTGTGGACTTGCCACTTTAAATTTCTTATTTTTGCATGGTGATGAGTTTTAGTTGTTGCTTGTAACGAAGTAATTAGTTGCATTATTTTATTACTGTAAAACTTATTGCATATATGATTTTGTTTGATTGAAAATAATTACATATTCATAATTGTGCATATTCATATCACAATATTCCTATGATTCTACAATGTTATATGTGCACAAATGTTCTTATTTGTTGTTCATACTATTGGGTAATGTGGAGACCCGGTCCATCGAAATTTAATTCGTTTTTTAATTAAGAATCTCACATACCGCTCACATACTTTCCCACCTACCGCTCATCTACCACATCTCACTTATCGCTCACCTACCGCTCTCATGGTTTCTATAAATAGCCTCTTTTGGCTTAAAGGAGAAGCCAAGTCAAGCAAAGCCACAAGCCAAGCAAAGCCACAAGTCAAGCAAAGCCACAAGCCAAGCAAGGCCAAGTCAAGTCCTCTTGAGAGCTAAAAGAAAGAGAGGAAGAGAGAGAGAGGAAGGGAGAGAAAAAAATAGAGATTTTCTTGTAAAGGTCGAGGCGCTCGACTGTGTAATTCCTGGTGTAATTTCTCGAAATGGTAGAATCCTCTGCAGCTCCGTGGACGTAGGCAAATTTGTCGAATCACGTAAATCCGTGTGTCACTCTGGTGTTTTTCTGCGTGCAATTTTTCTCATTCCATTTTTCACTTTATTGTCGACTTTTTTTACAACAACTGATATCAAAGCTTTGGGTTCAGATATAAGGAAGAATGATGAGCGGAGATAAAATGATGACATCGAAGATCGAGAAGTTCAATGACACAGGTTTTGCTTACTGGAGGATTCAGATAAATGACTACCTCTATGGGAAGAAACTTCATCTTTTGTTACTGAGAAAGCGACATGAAAAGATGGACGAGGCGGAATGGAATCTGTTGGATCTACAGGTTCTGGCGGTTATACGATTAACTCTATCGAGATCGGTTGCCCACAACGTCATCGAGGAGAGGACTACTACAGATCTCATGGTGGCTTTATCAGGTATGCATGAAAAGTCATCGGCGAATAACAATGTGCATCTGATGAAAAAGTTATTCAACTTGAAGATGCGCAAGGTGTGTTTGTTGCTCAACACCTAAATGATTTCAATATTATCATAAATCAGTTGTCGTCTGTTTAAAGTGATTTTGATGATGAGATATGTCCGCTGATATTGTTGATTTCATTGTCAAATAGTTTTGAAGCCATGAGGATGACAATTAGCAGTTTTGCAAGTAAATTTAAGTTGAAATATGATGATATTCGTGATTTGATTTTGACTGAGGAAGTGCTCAGGAAGGATTCTGGCAAGGTCTCGTGTTCGATTTCAGCACTGATTATTGATTCCAGAGGGAGATCACAAGCAGAAACTCAAACAGAGAAAGATCAAAATCAAAGTCTGGTGAGCAAACAACCTGTTGAAATTGTGGCAAGGCTGACCACATAAAAAGAAACTGCAGGAATCCTAAGAAGAAGAAGAAGAATGATGGCGCTAATGTTGTAACTGAAGAATGATGCATTATTGATGGCAGTTCATAGTTCTGTTGATGACTGAATACTAGATTCATGGGCTTTTTTTCATACAACTTTCCATCGGGAATTGATGCAGAATTATGTTGTTGCAGGTAACTTTGGGAAGGTACATCTGGCTGATGGAAAAACTATAAACATGGTGGGGATGAGAGACATTGATATTACACTCCCTAACAAGAACAAATGGACTTTGCAAAAGATCAGACACGTTCCTGAGTTGAAGAAAAACCTCATCTCTCTTGGGCAGCTCAATGAGGGTGGTCATTCGGTGGTGTTCTCAGATAACACTTAGAAGGTTACCAAAGGAGCATTAGTACTGACTCGGGGTAAGAAAACTGATACACTATATATGACTACAGGTTTGCTCAAGCGAGGATACATGAGTTAGAGGTGCATTATGGGGAAGCAGATGAATGTCAATTTCTTGAAAAGTGGCAGAGCACCAAAAGCAGGAAAATCAGCCCTTGTACAGACAAATGGTGGAGAACTACAGAGCTATGAAAAAATCTTGCAAGATGATAATTCAAACAAATGGGAGCTGACTAAGAAGGAGGAGACGAATTCCCTACCAGGGAATCAGACTTGAGAGCTGACAAAACTTCTATCAAGGAAGAAGACATTGCACAACAAGTGGGTGTATCGGGTGAAGACTGCACTTAGTGACAGTAAGAGGTACAAGGCTGGACTTGTTGAAAAAGACTTTTAGTAGGGGCAGGATATTGCTCATGCAGTGTGACTTGTAAGCAGATACAGGAGTAACCCAGAAAATAACTTGGTGATACAAGACTACATTTACGGTGATATGTCGATTGAGGGTGTTACTCGTGAGAAGCTGAAGCTATGCTCGACTTCAGCTGGTCTTCTGGCATAAAGACCGGGGTTTTGAGTTGTAGAGGTGGAGGATATCATGTTTGAGGAAAAGGTCGGTACAACTAGTAGATGATGCAACCAGTAAGTGATGCAGTCAGTGTCTCAGTCTCTAAGTGGGAGAATTGTTGGGTAATGTGGAGACCCGGTCCACTGAAATTTAATTAGCTTCCTAATTAAGAATCTCACATATCGCTCACCTACCACATCCCACCTACCACTCACTTACCTCTCACCTACTGCTCTCATGGTTTCTATAAATAACCTCTTTTGGCTTAAAGGAAAAGTCAAGCCAAGCAAAGCCATAAGCCAATCAAAGCCACAAGCCAAGCAAGACCAAGCCAAGTTCTCTTGAGAGTTGAAAGAAAGAGAGGAAGAGAGAGAGAGAGGAAGTGAGAGAAGAAAATAAAGATTTTCTTGTAAACGTCGAGGCGCTCGACGGTGTAATTCATCGAAGTAGTAAAATCCTCTGCAGCTTCGTGGACGTAGGCAAATTTGTCGAACCACGTAAATCCGTGTGTCGCTTTGGTGTTTTTCTTCGTCCAATTTTTCTCATTCCATTTTTCACTTTATTGTCGTCGTTTTTCACAAAACATATCATATACCCCAGTTTTATAATTTTTTATGGTATGTCAACCTTACTCTTTAACAATTTTACACAGCTAATTATATTCGGTCATCAACAGAATTGTCTCTATATATATATATATATATTATTTTCAACATTTTCTTTAATTAATGTATTTTTCTTTGAGGCCTAGATAGTCATTCCCTATTATTATTTTAATTTGGATTCAGTTATTTTTTTTTAATTTTCTTTCAACTGTACCTGTGGACTGTTAATTAAGGAAAACAATTTATATTTCTTTCTTTATTCTTGTTGTTATTTGCTTTTTTATGATGCAAAACAAGTTATTGATTGCATATATATTAAAAATTGAATGTTAAATATATTAATGAGAAAATCTTAAGTATTATTTATGTAAACAGACTAAATAAATTTAAAATATAAGTTTTACAAACATACCACTCAATCTTAAGTATTTACATGTCTAGCACCTAAAGTTTTGTTGTACATAATATCAGCTTAGCATAAAGAAGAATGCATTACATTTTTTAAAAATTAAAATAATAGCATTTTTTTTTCTTTTTGATATAAAAGATTTGGGTGGTAGAAATGTAGAAAAGAAAAAATTAGGATAATTTATATTTAGATATATGTTAGGTTTGGCTCTAATACTGTTTCTTGAGAAATTAGGGCGAAGAAAAACAATAATCGACACAAATCCAAAAGAACACAAAGAGATTTAACGAGGTTCGGCAAAGATGCCTACGTCCTCGGGAGCAGAGCGGCGATTCCTTTCAATTTTTTCTCCTAAGGGGCTAGATATTCGCCAAGATGAAGATTTATTGGGCATATGTATTTCTCCGAAATGGATGAATATTCGCCGATGTGGAGAATTGCCAAGATGAAGATTTGTTGGGCATATGTATTTCTCCGAAATAGATGAATATTCGCCGATGTGGAGAATTATTAGATGTGGCTCTTAATACCAGAATTTGGAGTCTCCATGAATGAAGAGATATCTATTGGAATTGAAGAGTTGCGTCTCTTGGAATTTAGTTGGTTGAGGGGATCAGTGAGGGCGCAGCGGAAGCGTGGTGGCCCAATTCACATTGGTGCATAAGAAACTTCATGATATATTTCTCCTAAGTGGCTGAATATTCTCCAAGATGGAAATTTGTTATGTATGACTCATAATTCCAGAATTTGGAGTCTCATGAAATGAAGAGATGTCTCTTGGAATTGAAGAGATGTGTCTTTTAGAATTTTGTGGGTTGGGGGGGAGCGAGAGCGCAGCGGAAGCGTGGTGGCCCAATCCGAACTGGTGCATAGGAAACTTCATGATTCATTTTCTCCTAAGGGGCCGAATATATATAATAGTAGTAATAATAATAATAATAATAATTTGGTTTTTAGGTTTTATGTAATTTGATAAATGATTAGTTTAATGTCATTAATTGTATAATTAACTATATTGAAAAATTCAAATATTTGTAGAGCTCGGCAGCCAGCAGAAGGTTAATCATTAATAGGTCTGGGATTAAGTATTTGTCTCATATAAGCAACTGTTTTTTATTAACATGTAAACGTACCTTTCTAGACATTAATTATTATTATTTGTAATAGATTTATGATTGCTTCATACAATTGTTAATTGCATTATTGCTACTTTAATTTTCTTATTTTTGTGCTAGTGATAGTGATAAGTTTCAGTCATTGCTCATAATGAAGTAATTTGTCGCATTATGTTATTACAGTAAAATTTCCTGCATTTATGATTAATTTATTCAATTATAATATTTCCTTTTATAATAGTTAATTTTTGTGAAATTGCACGTAAATTCATGTCAGTCAAATGCTCGTGTGAAATAACATATTTCTTACTTACTATGCATGTGGATAATTTGATATGTTTGTGTGTAATTGTGTGTATGTTGATGAAACCCTTTTGGATATTAGTTAGTCAGATCAATGGGTCCAGAAAGTGTCATCTCTATAAAAAATAACATCCATTGATTTGGTATTGACCATCCTAGTTTTAAGCTGACTACTAAATTTGACTTTATAAATATAAATTTAATCATAATTGAATAAACTGCTAAGTTAAATATAAATACTTGTTTAAGTTATTACACACACGCACACCTAAACTTTATCGTATATATATCTGTTTAACCTGAATAAACTGCTAAGTTAAATATAAATACTTGTTTTATTTATTACACCCACACACACCTACACCTAAACTTTATCGTATATATATCTGCTTAACTATCTGTTTAACCAAATAAAAAATATATATTTCACATTGTAATATTTAAAATAAGAGTATTTTTTATGTGATATGGAAGTTGAAGAATTTCTAAAAAGTATTGAATTATTCACATATTTAAAATTTAATAATAATAATAATAATAATAATAATAATAATAATAATAATAATAACCAAAGAATTGAGTGGTATGTATTTAAATAAAACCCAACGAGCCTCTCCACCATAAAATAAAATAAAATAAAAATAAAACAAAATAAAATTTTATGCTATAAATATAAAAATGGATCCCCAAAACAGAAATCAGGGTCTAGGAGTTGCCCTCTACCACTATTTTTGATGCCAAAATCCGGTGCTGTTCCGTCGATTTTGGAGCGAATAACCTTCGATTCCGGCGAGTCTTGGCGGGAAGTCTCTAGAGGCGGATGGGCCACCGCGACGGCGCTGCTCCTGATCCTCTTCCTGCAGCTTGTGAGGACTTTTACGAAGCGCAGAGCCTTCAGTACCGATCCGGCGAACTCGGTGGCAAGGTCTGCTCCGGCGAGCTTGCCGCTCGGAAAGACCGCAAATAGGTGAGTCTTCGTTGTTATTGCTTTTCAACTTCTTTCTTTCTTGTTTCAATTTGCTGAATCCGTCTCGTCTACTTGGAGTCGCAGCTATTTCTATTTTGCTCTCTTCATCTTCTCAACTGGAATTCCTTATTGCTGTCAATAATGATAACTAAATGGTATGATATTATTAGACTTTAATTTGGTGCGTGATTGGGGAAATGACCGGATTTGATAGTTCGACATTGCATCGAAATTTTGGTGCATGAGACTGATTTTTAACATGCGTTGCAGGATTTCAGGTATCATATGTGATGCTGATTTGAAGGACCTGATAGCTGATTTGGACGGGAAGAGCAATGAAAGAGAGAAATGGGAAAATGTTATTTCTAAAAAGAATGGCGGTGTTTCTTATCATGCGAGCTGTTGTAGACCCAAGGTAGGCTTCCTTTCAATCCTTCTTTCTTTCAGTTATCGGACATGATGCGATTCCCTGAGATATTCTTATCGAACTTGTATGGAATCTGAAATCTCCAAGCTAATCCGTTTTTTTTACATTGCTAATTTGATTCCTTCGGATTTAATCTTTTCGGAGATTTTCAGAATGTAGCTTTTGTTTATTTATGTCACGGCAGGTGAAATAAATGATTTCTGATTGGAAAATTTGAATTTGTTAGCCTTCAGAACGTGTCTATTTGAATAAATGTTGTAGTTTTCAAAAGGATAATAAGAATGAAAGTGATCTTGTATGGCAGATTGCTGTCAAATAAAGCTATTTTTTACTTTTCTAAAATCACATGTTTGTGTAATTTTATCCACGTTTCAGACTTTCAGTGCAATAAAGTTTCGAATCAACCCCCAGTATTGACATGTTTTACAATCTTTTCAGGACGGCCCCTTGAAGTATGTTAGTGTTACCATATTTGATCAATGCCCTTCTGAGCTATTACGGGACTTTTATATGGACAGCCATTACAGAAAAAAATGGGATAAAACTTTGGTTGAGTTTGAGCAACTGGAAGCTGATGAATACAGTGGAACAGAAATTGGGCGCTTGGTGAAAAAGTTCCCTCTTTTAACTCCGAGGGAGTATATATTGGTGTGGAGAGTGTGGAAAGGAAATGATAAAATCTTCTATTGCTTAACTAAGGTACATTCTCATTACTCTAAAATTTTGTAAATAGAAAGCTGCTGGTTTTGAGACCCAACTTGGTCCCTAGCAATTGATCTTCATCTCAGGCGATTTTCAACACTTAATATTTCTGTGTTTTACAATCTTTTTCTATGGATGCCACATGCCAGCTTTGATTTGGGAATACACCAAGAAACACCAAATCGAGGTGCTAAGCATCAGGGAAATGTTCAGGATTATATTTGTTTGCTATTTCTCTGATTGGTGTCTGTAATGTGGTTGTGATCAGGATAAAATAAATTGATAAACCATTGTTTTCAAGGCAGCAAAATAATTTATACGATTTTCCAGAAATGCAACAGGTGGACAGATCTTAGGAAAATGCGTACTACATGTTTGATGGCTGTTTTTAATCGTCCTTGCAAAGGCTTAGATAATGCATTTGAAACTTGAATTTGAGAAGTTGATTTACTGCATGTATATATTTTTCCATGTATTTTCTATTGAGATTAATATTTTGACAGGTTTGATTTCTTTGCTTCCTTTTATGATCATAGGATTGTGAGCATCGTTTGGCTCCTCAGCAGAAGAAATTTGTCCGGGTTGGATTCTTCAGATCTGGTTGGCGGATCAGGAAAGGCAAGCAATGAAGCATCTTTGTTTAATGCAGATTTTTGTTTTAATGTATTTGCAGGACTATTAAGGAAGGACAAATATATCAGATATTGTGGAAATTCTGTTTCATACTTCGTTGCTTTGATTCCCTGTGATGTTTCTTTCCACACAGTTTGATATCCAAATGAACAAAAAGTCTGTCATGTTGTTTATCTAACATTTTTGTTCACCACAATGCTTGTTCATGAAAAATTTTAACCACTCTCATGCTATTGGGATGTCAATAATTACATTCACTTCATTATCCTTTTTTGGGTGCTTCGGAGAGGTTGGTTTGCTTCTTTTCTTTTTAAAAACATGGTTGATGTCTTCATGCAATTACTTGTTGATTGTTTCATAATTCCAATTTATTAAGTAGCTATGAAAGAAATGTTCATTTATCAATTCTCTGATACTTGTTTTGCTTGGCCTCTTCCACTGATAATGCCCATCTTCTTGTGCTGCCAGCTACGTTTATTTCTCTTTTTTCATGGAAATGATATATTTTTATATTTCTATTGTATAGTTCCTGGTACAAATGCATGTGAAATTGCTATGTTGCATCAAGAAGATGCTGGACTGAATGTAGAGATGGCAAGACTAGCTTTTTCTAAGGGGATATGGAGTTATGTCTGTAAGATGAACAGTGCGTTGCGAGAATATTCTACCCATTCTGGAGCTCAGTCTCCCTCAGTTGCTATAATGAATAAGCTTATACAAAAGGTATCAACATTTTGTTGGCGTAAATGACTAGAAATCATAGAAGATTTGAATTTTATGCTCCGTAGCTTTTTTATAACACTTTCAGAACAATTTAGCCTTTTTTATGGATTTTATATAGTGCTGAGGCTTAGAGTTTTTAATGCTTTCGTCTGATTCATTATTGCTCTTGCATGGAAGAACTATGCGGCTGCTTAAATATCTTTTGAGCCCTTCGTTGTGTAATTTCCTTTCGAGTTGGATGAAGTCTTTCATCAAATTTTATTTCTGTTTAGCTTTCTGTAAACAATAGTGGTTGGTGCTTGGAGGTTAATGTATATTAGAAAAGTTGAACTAATAGCATCATATCCTTTGTTCTTAGAATTTATAAATAAATTGCTTTAATGCCTTACTGGAAAAAAAAGGGTATCTGCCGGATTATGTTTTTTATTTCCATACTTTCAATTCTTTATCTTGTGCAATTTGGCTATCTAGATTCAACAGAATCCATGGTTTTATAATTCATCAATAATGCATATCAACAACCGCATTTGAATGCCAATGACATATGACATTGCCTTCACTCTTCTAAAGAGAGGGCGAGGGTTCGATTTTTAAAATGTCAAATAGCAACTACATTTGAACCCAACTGAACATGACACTAAACATTAGCTAAAAATTCAAATTGAGTTTAGAGTATACATATGGTTTCCGTAAACATAGTTTTTATCTAATTCAATAAAAAAACTTTTATGCAAAATTCTAAATTGTTATGAGCGACCACAGTTTGATGTAATTCTCTTTGCTGAAACTATGGAGACAAAAAATATGACATTATTCTTCAAAAGCAGTTCCTCAGAAAAAATAGTTTGACATAGCACTTTGGCTTCACAGATTCTATTAGCTTACAGTTAATGTGTAATCAATATCATCATTACCTCTCCTGTAACATCTCAATCAAATCTAAACCACTCTAGTTTGTTTGATCGAATATGAATTGACTAAAGTTGGTTCGATTGAATTGCTTTAATCAGTTCACTATTTATATAGCGGGAAAAAACACAAAAATGAATTGTTTCCTCAAGAGCATTTGAGACTGAGAGAAGGAAATGTGCAAGATGAGACAAAGCACACAATTAGGGCTGTAAAAAAAGCTTGTTGTTCGCGAACAACTCATGCTCGAATTATTCGTTAAGCGAGCTGAACACAATTTTTTGAACTAGAATTATAAACGAGCTGAACATGAACAACTCTTTATTTGATTGTATTCGACTCATTTTAGCTCAAAATAGGAAAATTATATATGTAATTTATATCATGATGTATCATCTATATTTATATCTAAGTTTAAATCACAATAACTTGCGTGGTATTGTGGTTCTATGCTTTTAATTGCATAAAAATTGTGCATGTTTGAATCCAACACCTACATCTATTTTTCTAGTTAATTCAAACGAGTCAATTTTGAGCCGAACACAAACACACTATTCCCAAAGAATTTTGAAAATGAGTCAGTTTCAAACAAAATTAATTTTGAATGAGCCGAACAAGAGCCAAGCCAGAGCTCATTTAAGCTCTGCTCGTTTACTGCACACGAGCAAGAGGTGTGGTGCTGAAGGGCAACTGTTGTGTGTGATTGTGAGAGGGGCTACTGTGCAGGCTTGAGTGTGAGAGAGAGAGCACATGAGTGGAGAAGTAGATGCAACGATGCGAGCTTGTGCAGGTTCTTGCGAGGATGGCAAAATCGGTGCAATGAGAATGCTTTAGTAGTGAACAAATGACTTGCAGGTTTCAGATTATTGTTTGTGCGACAAAGTATGTGAGTAGGCTCAATTTGCACTCAAGACAATCTTGACTCCAGAAATATGATAGTTACGACTAGAGCATGAAATTAAAGCAAATGATGAGATTTCTCTTCTCTACGGATTGAATTAAGGTAAACTTAAATCTAATATAATTTTTTTTTTCACTTTTTTTTTCTTGAAAATAAATGAATTTGAAGCCCTGGATCTCTAATATATTTAGAGGATAGTTTTAAGTTAGTGATTTTGCATGAAAAAGAATACTAATAGAATAGCAAATGAGAATCGGAATATCAAGAAGATATAAAATGTGTATTTGTTGAGATATGATATTTATGAGAAATTCTGAATCTAATCTCATCTAGATTTATTTAAAAAATTAAATTTGAAATATTAAAAAGATAATTTTAAGTGCTAAGGTGTATGTTAAATAAATAAAACATGTTATGCATTAACTTGAACAATCTAATGTTTAATGATGATTTATATAAGTGAATGAAATAATAACTAGAACTAAATTTATCAAAATTTAATCTTCTCATTATGTAGAAGTCATTAATGTTGACAATTTAATTGATAAATTCTAAATATTATGATTAATAATCATAAAAATAAAATTATGACAAGATGTCAAATATTTAATTAATTTTAGAATAGCAGTAATGATTTTTTTATGTAATAAATTGATATTAATTGATGTAACGTGTGTGTGTGTGTCCGGGTGGGGGGGACAAATTGCAATCATATAACCGGAATTCGTGATAGGGACAAATTGCAATAAATCATTAATATCCTGATGAAATAATCGAATTATTCAAATGTATATTATTATTTATCATATAATATTATTAAAAAATAATGTATAATAAATAATAATATACATTATATGATTTATTATTTAATTATATGATTATATGATTAAATAATCATATAATCATTTAATGTGATTATATGATTTTATATGAAATTATATAATCATATAAAATTTCAATGAAATAATTGCGAATAAGTTAATAATATGCTAAGAAATAAATTAGATGATTTAAAACCAAATGATGATTTATATCGTTGAATAAGAACATATTAATTAAGTTGAAATCACATTAAATTAATATATATATATATATATAGTAAATTGATCTTGTACATTGTTATGTGTCGGATTAAAGTAGTCATGGTCTAATAGGTAAAAAGGCAATAATAAATCATTTGACATTGAGGTGAGTCATACCTTTTAAATTGTAATAATATTATTATTTTTTAAAATGCATTTGATAATTATTTAAATAAACAATACTTGAAGTTTAATATTGACTTATATATACTTCTACATGTGATCATTATATCGAAATGTATATTACATTATTTTTAGCATGTTAAGATTTTTTTTATTACATATATAGATTATTATAGAAATATTAAATTAATATGAAAATATAAATGTAATGAACTATTTTGATGTTTATATGTGTATGTTAACTGATGAAGTTCACGCTCTTATAATACTAGCTAATGATTCTAAGGTACTCATGGACATAAAATTGGAAAGAAGATATTAATATTTAAATACTTTGAATAATACATTTTAGATGATGCCTTTGAGATATATATAATTTATAAAATTATAGAGACAAGAGAAGATATTTTATTGAAGAGCATAATTGAATGTTCTGAATCTTCATAAATGGTCATTTTTAAAATTATAATTTATCAAATGATTTTATCTTTATTCACTGTATTTGATAAGCATGCATGTTGCTTTCTTTTCTGTTATGTTAATTTAATTTAGATATATAATTATTTTTCAAATGATATATAATTTACGATAATTTAAACTAACATTTTATAGGTTTAAGTCCTTGGCTAGAGAATGAATAAAGGTAGAGAAAAAAATCATAAAGAGTGTGGTCAAATTAGATGAAGGTAATTATATTTTTGATTCTTTTACTTCTAAGTTGGTTATATGTGAAGTGTCGTTGATGTGATGCTCATGACCGCACTTGTTATACTAAAAATTAGAGTATCATTAAAATATTCGATTAGGAATTCTAATTAAATGGTGCAAGATACAAGTCATTATTAACATGCATACACTTGTGGCTTTAGTTAAGCTAAATGACATCACTAAATATTCTTATAAGCCATCTTTTATTTTTAAGATTATTTTTTATTCAACATTTTTTGGCATGTGGATTCGATGGTATTCGTTTTTGAGATTGATCTTGAAGAAAATTATTACTCTGATCGTTTTATCTAACATGTTATCAAATTGAGGTATAGGTAACCTATACTTGAAAGTGAATTTACTAATGACCTCATGTATTAGGTATCATTTTTCGTTGGGGTAAGAGGGCGATAACTTCACATGTAGATAAAAGCTCTTCGATAAAATATCCCAGTAACAAATCATCAACCTATTATTTGAGCTTTGCATGTTCATTTGGGCTCACACAGTAGTAGGGAAAATCAGGGAGTGACGATCCATCAATCAACTCTATAGCATGCTGGATTCTTGTGAATTAAGATAGCTTATATGGATCTGATTAGGATAAATATATTGTTACTGAGATAGAAGTTCAGGCAACTCAAATGGAAGGGACTCAACAAGTGTTTAATTTGTGAAAAAAACAACCAGGATAAAATTGATATTCCAACTATAGTATCCTGTTGAATTGAGGTTTATTAATAATATGAAAGCATTTCTATTCTATTGGAGCAGATAAATCCTAAGGTTATTATGAAGCAACCTCTTCATACTTGATAACATTTAACACGACTCCTTGCCCCCTGAAACTTGAAGGCATATGTGTGTCCATAATATATGACATTATTGGTCAAAAAGCTAGGGTTCACCTCTACCACAACGTAGTCATTGATATTTTCATTGAAGTGATTCACAAACTCAAGATCTACACGCATGTTTCATCGAGGGAAGGTACTTCTCTAGTGTCTAGTTTTGTCAAATGTAAAGTAAGTAGCACTTGATGCTTAAGAATTAGTTGTTCCAACTGGAGCATTTCCTTAGGGATCACTGAGTTCTTGAGGAGCTAATGAGATGGAAGGTGTGAGACATAGCTGAAAGCTACTTCTAGATGAATGTCTACTTTCCTATAAAGTTGTGATTTAAGATATTGCTCAATTTTAGCTACAACTTTTAGTGTTTCTTCAACGGAATAAACTTCTCTAGTTAACATTTCATGAGGATATTAATTCATAAACCATATCAAAATCTTGAGATCATCATATGATGATTCTTTCTCACATCTCTATGGGTCATCTGCTTATTAAAGTGTGTCATGTAATTAAACTTAACACCAGTCATAGGTCGTGGTTGAAATATGGTTATCTCAAACATGAGCACATGAAAACTCAAGGGCATATATTTTTACTTTAAAGAGTCTTCAATTTCATCCCATGAAGTAATGAGTAATTGTCCCAATCATTGAATTTTTCTTTTTTGTGAGCTTTATCTCGTATATTTTGGACTTCACATGAAAAATCAAAGGCATATAATTTACTTTAAAGTCTCTTTAATTTCATCGGATGAAGTAATGGGCAATTGCCCTAATTATTTAATTTTTGTTACAAGCTTAATCCCGTATATTTTGGCACGACTAATTAGCTTAACACAGGCAAACCAAACTTGTTTTTAAGACAAATATTTGTTCATGGCAACCAGCAATATCAAGGACTTTTGGTTGAGTTGACCGTTGAAAGTAGATGTTTTAAATTTTAACCCGTATAAAGACATAATCATCAGTTTTTTGATACGTACATCATGTGGCAGCATATAATTGATCCATTCCAGATATTGATTCTTCATAATGTTGGGGATAAGTTCTCACAAGAACCATATGAACTACAGCCATCATCTTTTCCCAGATGTCTTTCTGCTTAACGTCCATCTATGATAATCATAGAACTTGTCCATAAGCTATGGATCGAGAGGAAGATAGTTGAATCTGACAGGAAGTATTGACAGAAATGATGGGGAGGGAGAGGAACATTTGGAAGACCTTCTCCTTCTCTGGTTGGTGTTTAAGTATTAGATTTTTTAACGAAGATTTTGCTAACCGCCTAACTTTTTATTCTAATACCTTAAATCTCCTTTGAGGTCCATTAAAGGTTTGTTAGTGCATAAGTGTGAGCTTTTCTATTTTCTTTTGCAAGAATTCACAAGGATCTTGTAATTATGCCCACTATGATTTGGCATAATAATCTATATTTTTTAATTGTACTTTTTATTACTTGACTGGGTTTTTAACATTTTTAAGAGCCTAGATGGCCTTATTTGAGATTTTTTATTTTTTTTTTTGCAATATTATAGATCTTGTTGAGTCAATGAAAATCAAGTACTCTTGTGTAAAATTGGGATTTGAAATGATAAAGCATGGAAAACATATTGAGAACTATCATGGAAGATGGAAATAGAGATTTTTTATGCAAACAATTTTTGTTTTTTGAATGATATGCATTGTAATGAAATTAAAGACACAACTACATGAATAAGTAACCAACATGATGAATTAGTGATCTAGAGTTTTTCACTTAGTTTTAATAATTGGATGACAAGTTAATTTTAATAATTGGATTACAATTATGCGAAGACTTTTTCTTACATTTCAATAGACTCCATTAGTTATAACAAACCATAGCCGATGCATGATTTTTTTTTTGAAGATCTTGATTAAAAAATGAAAAATACCAATTTCATTGTTACTTTTATGTGAAGGGCTTCTAAACTCATGATGTTAAGCAAAAATTCAAGTCTGAGCTAATATCTGTTGTAGCTCCTAATGCTTTACATTGTTATATTAATGAAGGCGTCATTATGATCAATATGAACACCAAGTATAGACGTAGCATAAAGTTTTGGATTCAAATTTAACAAATAAAATGTTTCTCCCTCCCCCAAACTTTCAGGTCCCCACTTTTATAGAGGATGATGTTGGAGCAACTGGTTCAAATCTCTCTAACATCTCATCTGATGATCCTTGTAGCAGCCCAATCATTAGGAACACACTGGAAAGTGCAAAATCGAAATTTCCTTCCAAGTGGATTGCAAATGGGCTTCTTCTAATTGGTGGCGTCGCCTGTCTTTCTCGCGGCCGTTCCACCCTCGGCATCCAAATCGCCTTGGCTTGCATTGTGAAAAAGCTGTTGAAGCATGGTTCGACATCGAAGCAACCCGAGCCTGTTCGTTCTTCCAGTTTTCATAGGGAGTCCAGGTTAAGGAAATGACTTTAGTCTTTAGTTACTTCACAATGCTTAGTTGCAAGTGTAAAAATTGCAAATAGATGGAAGTTTATAGCTGTGTCAGAATTTGCAATACACTTGACTTTTGTAATTAAAAATCTATTGTACTGTGATATTGCTATATATATATCTATATAACTAATTATTTTGGCGTGCCTGCGTGGAAAATTTAACACTATATATTGATTTTGTTTGACTTAATTGTATTATGGCAAGTGCGGAATTTATTATGTTTGTTTTTAACTCTGAGGGGCTGTATGGTAATGGATTTAAGTCTTGCCGGGCAATAACAGATGACAACTTATTTGGGAGGGGCTGTATGGTAATGGATTTAAGTCTTGCCGGACAATAACAGATGACAACTTATTTGGCGCGGTGTGTTTTCAAAACGCACTCAGGCCTATTTTGGTTGGGTAAACTGTATTTTTTGTAACTTATTCAAAAAACTGCGTTTTCAAATCACTGAAATCAATTTTTTCTCACCGTTTCTGGCTAGCTGTGGTGACAGTTTTTGGTGACAGTTTTTTTTAACTGTTGTCTTTTTTTTTTTTTTTTTTTAAGTTGTAATGTTCTCAATTCCTTCTTTGTTTTGCAGTAAATTTTGGATTTAATATATATTATTATTGGCATGATTTAGTAAATAAGAATTTGTAGGATTTAATAAAATTGCTAAAGTTGTTATTGCACAGCCCCTTAGTCTACCTTCCAAAAAAAAGAGTTAAATCTCAGGAACAAGCTCTGGCTAAACAGGATGGAAGTCTCTCAAGATGGAAGAAATATTACATGTGTTGCAAGTATGTGCACGGGACCGACCGATCTATATGTGCCTAAAAAAAAATTTAATACACATGTTTTTACTCGCATCTAAGGGCCCGTTTGGAGCAGTTTATAAATGCGGCGGAGTTTTTTAAAATACAGTCTAACCGTTTGGTTTGCACGTTTTTAAAAATGTTGTCTGTCACGTTTGATTTTTTTACACTAGGTGACTGCGTTTTAAGATAAATTGTTTATCCTGATATGCACAAGCGGTCCCAAATAGACCTTAAATCGTCCTAACAAACAATTGCTTTGCGCTTAATATTTTATGAGGATTATCTTACAAATAAGCAGCGTAGAAGCCAAGTGAAGGTGTTTTGGAAGATTTGAAAACATGCGTAATAAATGATAGTTGTGTCATTTGTCCTAATATACATATTTAGAATTATAAAGTATTACTGCACCTCAGATCAGTGTGTGTGTGTGTGTGTGTGTGTGTGTGTGTGTGTGTGTGTGTGTGTGTGTGTGTGTGTGTGT